AGAAAAAAGATTGAATTTCGAGCCGACAACATATCAGCAAGAAATGATGCAGACCCCCTGCGGTCATATCCGAGCATAAGGATCCAAATCACCAGTCGTATCCGAGGGTACCCGGTCAATCTGCGTAAAGACATTTAGCTTAACGACAATTTGCCTAAAAACATTGCCTAACGGACGGTTTGCCTAACGGACAGTGTGCCTAAGGAACAATTTGCCTATTAGACGAAATATCTATTAAAAACCGTAAGTTAGGCAAACTGTTCGTTAGGCAAACTGTCTTTAGGCAAACTGTCGTCAGGCTAAATGTCTTTAGGCGTATTAACCGGTCACGAGACCCAGTATAAAGATTATTTTTGAACTGACAATCTGAATACGTTTAATGAGATTAAAACTTCTCAAGTATCTCAGCAATTAGGAATTTCTCACTGACAGCATGCGCGCTTTTTGGGATCCACAAAATATGTTGCATCTGAGAAAAAATCCAGTTCATAGAGGGCATCTCCGTGCATGTGTTTAGCTTCAAGATGTGAGTTCAAGTAGTTCCAGTAACTAGCATTATCCTGTAATGTTAAGCAGGTTGGCTATGCTTAATGACGCTGAGATACTGGTTAAAATACGCAATGAGTATATTCTCATCAAAAACATGCTCGGAATCCAGAGGACTATTCGGCCTGATCGTATCAGTAACTCATCAAATCCAATTTAAATGGAGGAGTGGAATTTATGTATGAGAACAGTCAACTAAGCAGCATCAATCTCTGTGTTGAATCGTGCTGAAATTATTCAGCTGTTCAAAATTGGTATATCTTTGGAATGCGGACTTTTCCATCGGCATCACATAAGCCTTTTGAAATCATCTCAATATTTGAAATCATCTTGGACATAAGGATATCATGAAATCAATGCCTCACTAATCAAGTCCGACAGCTTGCGTATCGTTAGTAGAGATCAACTGAAGATCGCATCAAGAACTAGGAGTTTCTCATCAAAAACAAATTTATACCTGCTGAAATCTGTTCTATATACTGAAGACGAAGGTACGAATAAGTTCGATTCTAACGAATAAAATCTTAACTGATAGAGTTGACTAGAGCATGACAGCCTATTGCAGAAAATATGAAGAGTATACCTCTCAAATGATGTGAAGAAATCTGCTCATCGTAAAGAATTTATTTGTGAAATGATACGAGATTATGCTTGTAGGTGCTGGAATTATCTTCACTGGGATGATGTCAATTCTCTTCCTACGCATGCGACTGGAAATGTATCAATGGGCCAGTATGGTGCCCGTTGTAATTGGTTTAGTGATTATCTTTGTGATCGATATCTTATTCAGTGAAGACTTCTTTATTGGTACGTGTCATCATCATTATCACCATCATCATCACACACACACACATACTCTTTATCCTGGATAGTTGAGTGATCACTGCACAAAGCAAATTTTCGTTGAGCACCGAAATTGTTTCTTGTGTCGAAAGTACGGAGACTTGGTTGTATTTGCTCACACTTCCGAATGGTTCATAAGTGGGTCTATGAGAGAAACGCGGAATATCGATCGGATTTACGCTTTCTGATTGCAAAGTTGAAGATGCAAAATAGTGAATGATTGCTTGGAGAGTTATAAGAAGTGTTTGCTTTGGATCCCGATTTTGAATTCTGATCCCGTGCTCTGTTCTGAACTGTTGCGGGAACTCGGAATGTACTAAAGGACGCATTTTGTATCATTTCGGTTATATACTCATTGCATACCGATTATTCCTAATTACCATATATTCAGTAATATTTATTGTCAATCATGCAAAAGATAATAAAAATATGACATATAGCACCAACTCGGGTTTCGTTTCTAAGAAAGCAGTGAATGGAATCTCTTAATATGATCGCTTTTGTCTCGTGTTTCTTCATCACCGTTATCTTAAATTCCGTTTATGAATCGTGACATTATTTCGGGATTGAATAATGGTCGCCATTTTGCAAATGATTTCAGTGAGTTGTTGCATTGGCTGATTCATTCAGCTGTAACCCTCACAAATGTCAATGGTATCATCTGAACAGGTATAACTGTCACCTGTTTCATGGCCATCATATACACATATACCACCGTTTTCATAAACCAGTTTGATTTTTTTGTTGAAATAGCGATTCGCATTTTATGATAGCTCGCCCATACGTGAATAATTTCAGGTGATTTATTTGTTATAACTGCACAAATTGTGGTAGCACTTCAGATGGTCGCCGAGCAGAAACTTTTAGCCGATTGCGATGTTCCTGCCCTTTTTGCTGTCGGATTGGAAGGTGATATTCTGGTTATTGTTTGAGTTTTCGGTGTCATTATTATTATGATATTATTGGAGTAGATTACAGTTGGTAACTCTGCTTTACTTGATCACTAATGGTCAACATTAGGTCAGATATAATCAGTTTAAAATACCCGTAGCACATAATCTTATTCAGACAATTTGAT